TCCATGGGGTCGCAAAGAATCAGACAAGACTAAGCAACTGAACAACAACAACAAAGCGTATTGATGCTTATTTATGACTTAATATATGTTCTATCCTGGAGAATGTCCCATGTGCACTTTTCTCACTTGTGAACGAGAATTTGCAGAATCCACCGACAGCTTTGTTGCTATGGTTTGGGAGTTACTCTCGGTGAATTTGAATTCCCTGTTCTTAGGGCACTTATGCCCCATTTCCATTTTTCCAAATGAGTTTAGATAGCCAGTGGATCTTGTTGCTGTTGGTGGCTCAACTCATACTTCTCATATTCTGAAATTCTTATCAACTAGTTTTATTATAAATTCTTCTTTTCCTTTGATAGTGTGGTTTTTAAGCCTAGATATCACCATATGAATAAATATATGGTTTTTTTCAACTTTTAGCTCACACCTAGAAAGAAGTCTGTGCTTTTAAATCCTGAATTACAGAACTCTGCTTCTAAGCAGAAGGGAGAAAACAGAGCAGATTGTCTAGAGTTCTCCTCACAGTGCTGAGGTCTCTGAGTCTGCTTAAACCTGATGAGCTGGTTTATTTAAATTTCATTGTATTTGAACTTTATCTCAGATCCGGTTCTAAAGAGCTTTAGAAGGGAGAAGTGGGAGTTTAGAGCCACTCTATTTCTGTGTTAAAAAATATTTTCCAATCTGCAAAATTAATGTCTTTACCCTATGAAGTTCTTAGCCTCCTGAAATCACTACGCTTTTAAATAACTAGGCCTTGATCTTTAATTAGAACTAAATTTTACAAAGTCCTTGACAGCAAAAGTATTTGATGATCCACTTTCAAGGCAATCCTAAGGTTAGCTAATCATATATATGCTAAAAGAAATCACAGCTGATTTATGGTCAATTTTTCAGAGATGAGGCTTGGAATTTGCAATGTGTCCCCAAAGTCGGTTATTTTATATGTGTGTGTGCTTAAAAACAGTGAACATTTTCTTGCTGAACAGCTGATGTATAAATCTGGGGCATATCCTACTTTACTAGGTTGTTTTGTAATAAAATGTAAGACTTGGAGAGACTTAAAAAAAAAGCAATGCCCTAGTGTGTTGCAAGTTTCACTTGCTTGGAGACAGAATAATTGATGGGATTTAAAAAATCATAATCATGACTTTGACATTCCTAGTTTCTTTGGTCCAATTATTAATCACTGTAAATCTCATTTAGATTTATCATGCATTTCCTTATCAATAAGTAAAACCTTTTGATCTCTGTTCCCTTTGGAATCACATGGAGATGGAGAGATAAAGAAGGGGAAAGAATGAAATAAAACAGAAATTATACAAATATTTACTTTTATATATTTCCAATACTTGAATTCACAAAGAAATCTGGTTTCTTTGAAGATTAAAAAATGACAACTCACAGACAGAGAAAGAGAAATATCGTGGGTATCCTTATATGTGAAATCTAAAAAGAAATGATGCAAATGAACTTATTTAGAAAACGGAAACAGACTCACAGGCTTAGAGAAATAGGGAATAAACTTATGGTTACCCGGGAGGGGTGGAGGAAGGGATGGGGGAAGGGATAGTTAGGGAGTTTGGGATGGACAGGTTCACACTGCTATATTTAAAATAGACAACCAACAAGGACCTACTGTATAGCACAGGGAACTCTGATCAATGTTTCTCGGCAGCCTGGATGGGAGGAGAGTTTGGGGGAGAATGGATACACATACATGTAATGGCTGAGTCCCTTTGCTGTCTACCTGAAACTATCACAGCATTGTTAATCAGTTCTACTCCAATATAGACTAAAAAGTTAAAAAATGTCAAGGCAATGATTTACAAATAGATGGTTTCATTACATTCAATGTGCTTTACATAATTTTTTCTCCTTAGTAATATAAAATGGTTTCTAGCTTGGTCCCCAAATTCTCTAGTGAGGTGTGTTCCAGGGTCCGGACTGAAGGGGAGCTGGGAAAGTGTGGTTCTAGATTTCTGCAGCACTGCATGCTTCCGGCATTAGAGGGAACAGTACAGTGAAAGAAGCAAGAGTGCTGGTGGAAGTGTGCCCCCGAGGAAGTCCTCATCTCCCCTCTAAAGATCACAGTCAGTTATCGGCCTTTGGAAGTAGAATTTTCCATTCCGTTCTCCACTTGGCATTCTACCCTCCATACACCAAGTAGGCACGGGGAATAACTAAATTGAAATTCTGCCCAATCAAGATAAAACTCAAATACGGCTTCCTCTTTGAAGCCTGTCTTGATCCCTAGTCAGAAACAATCTCAGATCCTTCCCTCCTCTGTTTGCCTATGGAATCCTGACTGAAGACATGTTTCCTGGGGTCAACCAAATCTAGGACTCACTCTAAGATGTTTTGTTGTTCAGTTGCTCAGTCGTGTCTGACTCTTTGTGACCCCATGGACTGCAGCACAACAGGCTTCCCTGTCCTTCACCATATCCTGGAGTTTGTTCAAACTCATGTCCATTGAGTCGGTGATGCCATCCAACCATCTCATCCTCTATCATCCCCTTCACCTGCCTTCAATCTTTCCCAGCATCAGGGTCTTTCTAATGAGTTGGCTCTTCACATCAGGTGGCCAAAGTATTGGAGCTTCACCTTCAGCATCAGTCCTTCCAATGAATATTCAGGACTGATTTCCTTTAGGATGGACTGGTTTGATGTCTTTGCTGTCCAAGGGACTCTCAAGAGTCTTTTCCAACACCACAGTTCAAAAGCATCAATTCTTTGGTGCTCAGCTTTCTTTAGGGTCCAACTCTCACATCCATACACTACTCCTGGAAAAACCACGACTTTGACCATACAGACCTTTGTTGGTGAAGTAACGTCTCTGCTTTTTAATATGTTGTCTAGGTTTGTCATAGTTTTTTTTTCCAGGGAGCAAGCGTCTTTTATTTTCATGGCTGCAGTCACCACCTGCAGTGATTTTGGAGCCCAAGAAAATAAAGTGTATTACTGTTTCCATTGTTTCCCCATCTATTTGTCTTGAAGTGATGGGATTGGATGCCATGATCTTCGTTTTTTGAATGTTCAATTTTAAGCTGTTTACTGGAGTGTATGATTATGGGAGGGCTTCCCAGGTGGCGCTAGTGGTAAGGAACCCACCTGTCAATGCAGGAGATGTAAGAGACATGGATTCTATCCCCGGGTCAGGAAGATCTCCTGGAGGAGGGTGTGGCAACTCACTCCAGTATTCTTGCCTGGAGAATCCCATGGACAGAGGAGCCTGGCGGGCTACAGTCCATAGAGTCACACAGAGTCAGACCCGACTGAAGTGACTTAGCATGCATGCATGCAAGGTTATGAGAAAGTTGCATTTCCCAATGGGGACTGCTATTGTGTATTCCATCCTGTTCCACTGTTCCTCTTACAATATGATTGACGTTTCTCCCACCAAGAGATGGGACTACTGGAGGCTATGTTCCCTCTTCTTGAATCAAGATAGGTTTGGGACTGTCACAAGCTGTCCCAACTGCCCCCATGGAGAGTGGTTGAAGGGATCCCATGTGACTTCTGAGGTTTGGTCATAGAAAGGAGACAACTCCTTCCTCCACCCCTGCCCTGATCTTAACCTCGGAACCCAGAGCTGGGTTTGTAAGGAAGCCTAGGATGCTTCTTCATCTGGGGCCGATGGCCAGCATCAGGACCAGACCGGCATGAAGTAATCTTCGGATGATTTCAGTCCCCAGCCTTCATGCCTTCCATCTTAGGTCCCAGGTGTGGGGGGAGAAATAAGCTTGTCCTCCTCCGTGTCTTGCCTGATTTCTGGAGGCACAGACACTGTGCAAGATGATAAATGATTGTTGTCATTAAGTCACTGTGTTCTTTTTAATATATACAATTATGAAACTTGCTCTTTTTATTTATTTATTTGGCTGCACTGGGTCTTTATTGCTACATGTGAGATCTTTATAGTTTCGGCATGTGGGATCTAGTTCCTTGACCAGGGATCCAATCTGGGCCTCCTGCATTGGGAACACATGGAGTTCTAGACACTGGACTACCAGGGAAGTTCATTAAGTCACTGAGTTTTAAGTGAAATCGTCATGTACCAATAAATAGATCACCAGTGCAAAGGTACATGAAGGCCCATGTTTTTCATCTTTCATCCTCCTCTTATCCCTAAATCCTAAACTTTGCAGCAGTTAGTGCAATGATTTGCCCATAGACTAGAAATTCTATTTCTTTAAATAATTATGAGGACTAAATAAGATCACAAACATGAAAGGACTTGGTTGAGTGCTCATATGAAGCAATCTATTAACATTTAGAGTAATTATTGATAGGTAAGGACTATTACTGTCTTATTATTTTCTGACTGTTTTGTAATTCTTTTCTTTCACTCTTGCTGCCTTCCTTTGAGTGTTGATGATTTTCCATAGTGGTATTCTTTGATTCCCTCTTTTTATCTTTTGTGAATCTGCTATAGGTTTTTTGATTTATTTTTACCATGAGATTTATCTGAAATATGTTATAGGCATCATTATATTTTACACTGGTAACAACTTAATTTTGCATACAAAACCTCTACCCTTCTATATCCACCTTTTTGTGTTTTTGATGCCACAATTCACCTCTTTTAATACTGTATGTACATTAACAAATTATTGTAGCTATATTACATGGAGCTATGGTGTGGTGGCAGTTGTTTAGTCACTCAGTCGTGTCCTACTCTTTGTGACCCCATGGACTGTAGCTCGCCAGACTCCTCTGTTGTGGGATTTTCCTGTCAAGAATACTGGAGTGGGTTGCCATTTCCTTCTCCAGGGGATCTCCCCAACCCAGGGACTGAACCCATGTCTCCTGCATTGGCAGGCGGACAGGAGGATTATTGTGATCCTTTGGTGATATCATGTGAGCTTGATTTTTTCATGTTCTTTGAATATTAAATGGCTGTCTTCACATTTGAAATAGCAGCCACATCCTCCAATCTTTACTAACTGCCCACTCTAATAGAGTCACTGCAGGATCTATAGTCAGGATCAAGGTCTGTTTACCTATGACCTGATGCACAATTGGGTGAGATTTCTCCTGGGTCCCTTGGTGTAGGATGCTGGATCCAACAGCTCCCTCCAAGGCACCTTTATTCATGGATGAATGCTGAACTTCTGTTACTGTTGGGAGGGGAGAAATAAAGGGCATTTTATGCCATCATAATGTTGATGTCACTCTTACTATATGTAAATTATGACTTTGCTTTCCTCATATATCATGTCCATAGGACACAAAAAGTAGTCTATTAACACCAGATCAGCAAAGACAAAACCCATCAGTTGTTCTGTTATATTTATGTCCCTAATCTGTTTTGCTTCCCATTCCTTTTCCATGCCTTTAAAATTCTTGGAAAATTAAAAAAAAATTCATTACATTTGTTTATGTGACTCAAATCTATGGAAGAAGGTCTGATGGGAATTTATTAAATGGCTGGGTAAAGTTTCATCTTAGTTCTATTTTTGCTCCCTGGTACAGGAAGTGGTCTCAAATATTGCAGAGCTGGATGGAGACACGGGGACCTACTGGTCAGGCTAGTTACTTGCTGTCCCTTCAAATGAATGTTGTTCAGTCACTCAGTCATGTCTGACTCTGCGACCCCATGGGCTGCAGCATGATAGGCTACCCTGTCTTTCACTCTTGGAATTTGCTCAAACTCATGTCCACTGAGTCAGTGATGCCACCCAACCACCTCTCCTCGGTCGTCCCCTTCTCCTCCTTCAAATGAATATTCATGAAATACTTGTTAAATGGTTAAAACCGAGGCTATAGAAGATTATCACACCTGTGAAAAGGTTGGTCTGGCTGTGATGAGTATTAACAATTGGCTGTGGTCTTGGTTGTCCCCAGACTACATTCATAATGCCTTCCCAAATAGAGGATGTTCCTGTGTTGTGTCAAGGATATACAGAATGGAGTCTGTGCCAGTGTCTTTTCTTCTTTCGCATAAGACTTCATTTTCATGAATACTCCAACTCCCTTTGTTCATAATGGTAGACCCGATGTCAGGAATCCTGGAGGCTTAGTTTCTTTGCACCCTTCTCAATTGCCTTCCAAATGAGAATGTTGAATAAAACTTCGTTAAAAATTCTCGCCTACTATATTATTCCATCTCTTTGGCATATGGAGCTGCGTGATAAATCTATATAGAAAAAAGAAAATACACACGAGTTACAAGTGAAATCCAAAAGAATTAACCTATATATCCTTTAGGTTAATTAACATATTTTTCTGACTTATAAAATCTCCATCTGATTCAGAGCTAGTCCTTTAAACATTTTTGCAAAATCTTGGTGAACTGAATTACAGAGTAACACATTACAAGTTACTGGATTCATGGGAGAAATAGAAGCCTAATGCATTATTGTCATGTTGATCAAATTACTGCATAATTTTTAGAAATAATAAAATATTAACCTTGATGAGGTTACCACTGCAAATGCATTCCTTGATTTTGTGCATAGAGTTCTGAGAAATTTGTAGTCTGATACTACCATTATAAAATGGAAAATTTCTTCCCCCAAATAATGCTTATGAATATGAATGTCAAATATTTTCATGGAAGAGAAGTTTACTTGTTGACTGAATTACACTTACTGAGAATTAGCAAAAGAAATGATAACAGAATGACACTAGTCATGAAATAACTGAGATGCCCAATAGTTAAACTGCTAAGACTACCAGCTAGAAAGCGGACAATGAAGAGGGAAAAATGATGGGTTCTAATTGGATAAAAACTTTTTTATGGGGAAAGTGGGTGACAGACATTTATAGTTTGGTTTTATAAAAGCCTCAGGCTATGCAAAGTACAAAGATGAAGCCAGAATATCAAGCCTGAAAGACACCTTAGATACTTGGGTACATCAAGCTGTTACTAGAGTGACCTATTTATATGTAGATATTGGTTTACATAGGCTCAGTGGTAAAAAAAAAATCTTCCTGCAATTCAGGAGATGCAGGTTTGATCCCTGGGTTGGAAAGATCCCCTGGAGAAGGAAATGACTACCCACTCTAGTATTCTTGCCTCAAAAATCCCAGGGACAGAGGGGCTGTAGTCCACAGGGTTGCAAAGTGTTGGACACGACTTAGTGACTCAACAACAACTGTTTATTTCTACTGATTTATACCTAGGATTTAATATTTATGAGATTTTTATGATTTAAATAAAGTGGCTATAGGAACATAATTTCTCTTGTTTTGAAACTTCTTTTATTGATTTCATTTTCTTTCACCTTCTTTCTTTCATAAGAATGTTCTTTCTTCTTTTTCCTTGAGATACAGGATATAAAGTGCTAATTAATTTATAGTAGTTTAAAGTTTCTTTCTGTTTTTAATTAAAAAGAAATTTTTCATCATATTAATCAAAATTAATTAATATTAGGCAAAATAACTGTCTTTTTCACTCACTGAAAAACACTAGGACCAAAGAAGGTAAAGAAATATGAGGGGTATAACTTGCAGGACTCTTAAAGAGTTGACAACTAAATGCAACTCATGATCTTGATTTAGTCCTGAGCCTACAGAAAGGTTTTGTGACAGATGGAATTATTGAGAAATTTGACAAACTGTGACAGTTAGGAAGAGAGCTCCCACCTGGAACTGAACGCTGCCACACCTTGACCTTGGACTACCCGTCCTCCAGAGCTGAGAGAAAATAAACGTCTGCTAAACGTTTGTGTCACCTGACCTATGGTATTTTGTTACAGCAGCCTGAGCTAAGTCAACTACCGACCCCTTGTCTTTACCTCAGATGCCAAGGCCAGTCTTCATGCATTTCTCCACAACCAACTGGGTTTAAAAGTAGATACTGTTTCCTTAGTAACTCAAGGAAATTGGTGATGAATAACCACTCCTTAGGGGCTGTGTAGTATAGGGAAGAGAATCTGGGCTGTATAATCAGAAGTGACCCTGGCAGAATCATGACCTGTATCACCTTAGTCTGCTCATCTCTTAGATGGGAGAATAAGGCTCCTGTCCCTCCCCTCCCCCAAGATATTTTCACTGTCGGTGGTGGTACTAGGTACAGGATTGCCTGCTATAACTCTAAAAACAGAGATACACATAAATACAACAAGGTCCTTTGTTCCTTTTTTTTTTTTTACAAATGGACAAATGAGATACATAAAGGTGAACTAATTTTCCTCTCAGAATTAGATTAGCAAGAGAAAATTCCTAAAACTGACTCCATGTTTTAGTCACTTCTTTTCCTTGTTTGGATCTCTGTATTGTTCAGGTTGTGATTTTTCTTCTTTCATTGACTTATTTAATTTTCAGAAATAAGATTAACACATTGACATGAATTAAAGCATAAAACAGGAAGTCTCTGCATGATTGACCAGAACAGGGGAATCAAAAGAAAAAGAGAAGTGAATGGGCCAGGGAAGAGATAAGAAGGGGGCGGAAATGAGGGACCAAGAACAATGTGGTCTTGATTTCTCACAGAGCTTTCAACATGTATTGTTTAACTGTCAGTTTGTGAACGGAAGTAGTTAGCAAAAGTTTTCCCAAGCGGCCATAGAGAGAAGAATGGGCTGTTCAATGTCAGTTAAAAAAATCAAGAGTTCAAAAAGGCATATTCATACTCAGTCAAATGGAGAGATGTCCAAATTCCAAGTGTGACTTGGAAAGCATCACATTGCTGACTTTCCCCCAAGGTTGACAACATACTGGTGACAAATGGCGTTGCTTAGATATTCTCCTCCATTCCCATATTTTATTCTAAAATTCATCCCTACTTCAACTCTCCCTACTTTCATGTATCAACTATTGTGGATAGTGTGGTCTCAACTTAGCATGCTTTATTTGCCTTTGCCACAAGTCTCAGATGTAGATTAAAGGGGCAACCTTTACATAACTTTATACTAGCTTATTTATTTATTTATTGGCCATGCCGCACAACATGTGAGATCTTGGTTCCCTGACCAGGGATCGAAGCCATGCCCCCTGCATTGGGAGAGTGAAATCTTAACTACTGGACTGCCAGGGAAATCCCTATGCCTTCTTATTATGGTACTGAAAACCTTCACACTTCCCTCTCCATTTGGGGATAATAGAAAGCATTCTGGTTAATATACCTCATTTCTTACATTAGTGTGCTTGCATTAATAAGAAATAAATAGGATGGCTGTCTCCTGGAGACAAATAAAAGCTAGTAGACTTAAGAGAAACTTTATATGGTGTTATAAATACAAAATGTCTTGGGCACATTGAAGGTGTACCTTGAGTTATACATTGATTAATAAAATAACTAGGCGATCATGATGTAGCTTGCAAACATTAGAGACAAATAGATGTAGAGATTCTTTAATAATTATATAAGCTTGGAGCTGGGAAGAAAAAATGGAGCAATTGTCAGACCGTGGATGGAACTTTTCTGGTGTAAAATATTGTTGTATTTTCTCCTCCACAAAAAGAAAGAGAGACACAGGGCTTACTAAGCAAGTGTGCTTTAGCTTAGAAGGATATAATGGATATAATGGATTACAGATACTTCTGTACTGGCTAGAGAAATATTTTGATTTCCACTACTGCCAAATCTTTTTTTTTCAGGAAAGCTTTCTGCCTTAGGGGACAAAGACCAGCGGACTAGAAAGTTCGTCTTTCTCTGATGGACAGGGGTTTGAGTGTGGCAGAGATGGGGGGTCATACGCTGTGAGAAGACTTATAAGAGCAGCCAGGAGCTGGAGCTTCTTTCTCGCACATTGAGATCCAATTAGGCGCTAAAACTTCCTCTGAAAAACAAGCCAAGAAACTACGCCTCCCTGGTCAGGCACAAACTCCAGAAGAGAGAACAAATAACTGTAACTTCTCACATACTTGTAGTTCTTTCTGTATCAAGGAAGAAAACTCAGGTCATGAAACTTCCATTTGAAGACCAGTATTGAGGAGATTGTGTGGTTAGTCACTCAGTTGCATCTTACTCTTTGTGACCCCATGGACTGTAGCCCACCTGGCTCCTCTGTCCCTGGAATTCTCCCGGCAAGATTACTGGAGTGGGTAGCCATTCCTTTCTCCAGGTGATCTTCCCAACCCAGGGATCAAACTCAGGTCTCCTGCATTGCAGGTGGATTCTTTATTGCCTGAGCCACCAGGGAAGACCATAAGGAGATTAGGGGAGGGGCAATTTCTCTTTGTTCCTTTGTCCAAACTCTCAAATAAATAGGTCCTTCCCCCCACAAACTTTTCTGTACTTAGCATTAAAATGAAGATATCATATTGATTTAGCCTTGAGATGGGGTAATGGATAATTGAAATAGGCTGTCTGCAGTATTTTCAAGTGAATGCAAGAGTCAAGTCAGTTATACTTTCATTTTCCAGCGGTATACCACATTTTGCAGGCAATGGAAGCTATCGTATTTCATTTATACTTAGCAAATGATTCAGTATTCTTAAGACCACTTTTCAAAAAGGATTTTGAGTCAGGGGCAAAATTTACTATTTTTCTACTCTTGCATCTTGGAGAATTTGCAATCTAGTTAAGTTGGATGGAATGTCTAAATTCAGAGCAATGACTGAAAATAAAAAGATTTAAAACTCATCAAACCAGCATGGAAAAGAGAGAACTGCCTAAAGTCATTGCTTTTACTATATACATTTATGGTTTTTAAAAAATTCTAGAACTTAAAAAAAAAAATCATTGTGCCCGAAAGAGTAGTTTATTTAGTTTAGAAGGAAATGGGGAGAACTGTCCAGTGTGAATTTTTTTATTTTCAGTGTCCTGAGTCATAGAATTTGATCAACTTCTCATTTAACCTTGCATCAAAAGGGAGATAAATCCTCTGGGAAACAGATATTCTGGGTTCTCCTGCATTACTGAAGAATTATATTCTCTCGACATTATAGACTTCCTTTGAATTCACTTCCAAATTGTTCATTGTTGGAATTCAGACATTCAGGGGGTGACAAAAACATCTGCTTCCTCTGATTTATGCTTCTAAAGGGCATTCACAGTACTCTTCAAAGAATTGTACCAAAACCTCATTTGGGATAGAAACAATATTTTAAAAATAGAAATTGATGAGTTCCCTTTTGTCTACAGTTAATCACTATCTCATCACATGTAGAGTTTTAAAAACAATAAGAAAAACAACCAAACAACAATAACAATAATGGACACAACATCAGACACCATAACAACACACAATATCAGACAGTATTGTTACCTCTAAGCTTCTTCGCCTCTGTCATTTCTAGTAACAGGCCGGTGGAGGCTTGTTACTAGAGGCCTGAACTTTCTGTGTCCTCTTTTTAAAGCTTTTACTACTTTAAACTTTGAGTGTTAGTTTTAGGAAGGTGATGATGAAATCTACTGAGTAATGAGTTTCTTCCCCTCCACCTTCCTTATCTGTCTGATTCATCTCATGTCTGGGATATCCTGGGTGGGCATTGACCTTGGCTAACCTCATAGCATTAGCCCATCAAGGCCACAGAGCTCCTTTGTGTGACTGTATAGAAAAGGGAAATGTTCCCTAAATGTTTCACCTTTTCCATACACAAAATCTTAATTTTGTAGTAAACTTATCTTTCCTCTGATTCAAATACTTGTTCTGTAATTTGGGAGACATTACAGCACAGTAATTCAAACATTCGAGGTGGCTAATTGTAGATCTGAATTCATACTGCCACAATTAGCAGTTCTGTGACCTTGGGCAAGTTTATTCAACTCTTCTGGGGCCTCTAAAATGGGATATTAATATTTATCACATTGGATTGTTGGGAAAATTAAAATGTGCATTTGTTGTTGTTCAGTGGCTAAGATGTATCTGAGTATTTGTGACCCCATGGATTGCAGCATGGCAGGCTTCTCTGTCCTTCAGCATCTCCTGGAGTTTGCTCAGACTCATGTCCATTGAGTCAGTGATGCCATCCGGTCATCTCACCCTCTGTCACCCCTCTCTCCTCCTGCCCTCAATCTTTCCCAGCATCAGAGTTTTTCTCATGAGTCGGTTCTTTGCATATGCAACATACATTTTGTATGTGACATTGAAGAAAGTTATTTTTTTCTCTTTGGGTCACAGTTTTCAAAAACAGTCGAAATGGTTTTCTTAATACTTTATGCAATTTTGATTTATTGGAAAATCTTTGAGTTTCTTTCCAGTTTTTCTGGCCATTATGATTCCAATATATACATCAAATTCTCAACTTTGGGCTGATGGGCTATTTATTTTAAACTATTTTTGGCTTTTCAGAATTCTAGCCAAACAGAAACCTCAGATAACTGTCTAGATTTTGTGATAGTATGTTGAACCTTTGGTATCAAACAGCAGTAGGCAGTTTTGGACTTAGTATTTAAGCAATGGGCTCCACCATATATTGAGTTATTTGGCAGCTCAGAGCCTGGAGTGCTGTGTGTGATATTTACTCCACCTCCATACTTTAATCATTTACTGACTGAAGCTTGTTTTCCTATTGTCTTTTTTACATTTTTAAACTATTTGACTGTGTCATGCAACTTAAGGGATCTTAGTTCCTCGACCAGGACTCAAACCTGCACCTTTGGCAATGAAATCAAGACATCCTCACCACTGGACCACCAGGGACTTTCCTCCAACCCTCCTTATCCTTCATGCTCTTTGGTGCATTAGCACAGATTCTATCAACATTACAGAAACTTGTCTCTATTCCCCCATCATTTTCTTCCTAGTGCTGTTTGCATTAAGTCTGTCTCACAGAATAACTGTTCAGTGAATCACAGGTCCAGCATCAGCCAGGAAACTGCAGATTTCCCCTGAATTATTTACTGGGTCCCTGAAATATTAGATATGCAGATGATACCACTCTAATGGCAGAAAGCGAAGAGGAATTAAAACGCCTCTTGATGAAAGTGAAAGAAGAGAGTGAAAAAACTGGCTTAAAACTCAACATTCAAAAAACTAAGATCATGGCATTTGTTGCCATCACTTCATGGCAAATAGAAGGGGGAAAGTGGAAGCAATGACAGATTTTATTTTCTTGGGTTCCAAAATCACTGCAGACAGACTGCAGCCATGAAATTAAATGGCTTGCTCCTTAGAAGAAAAGCTATGACAAACCTAGACAGTGTGTTAAAAAGCAGACACTACTTGGCTGACAAAGGTCCATATAGTCAAAGCTATGGTTTTTCTAGTAGTCATGTGTCACACATATGGATGTGAGAGTTGGACCATCAAGAAGGCTGAGTGCCAAAGAACTGATGCTTTAAAATTGTGGGGCTAGACAAGACTCTTGAGAGGCCCTTAGACAGCATGGCGATCAAACCAGTCAATCCTAAAGGAAATCAACCCTGAATATTCATTGGAAGGACTGATGCTGAAGCCGAAGCTCCAATACTTTGGCCACCTAATGCAAAGAGCTGACTCATTGGAAAAGACCCTGCTGCTGGGAAAGATTGAGGGCAGGAGGAGGAGAGGGTGACAAAGGATGAGATGGTTGGATAGCATCTTCAACTCAAAGAACAAGAGTTTGAGCAAACTCTGGGAGATAGTGAAGGACAGGGAAGCCTGGTGTGCTGCAGTCCAAGGGGTTGCAAAGAGTTGGACATGAGTGAGTGACTGAACAGCAGCAAGTGACAACAATAGGAAGGGTAAGCTTGGGAGTTGAAGCACTCGAGAAAGATGTTGCAGACAATGTAGGTAAAGCTGTACATATATCTTAGATAATAACAATAATAACAGCTTGGCAAAGTTTTGGACCCCGAACTCTAAAGAGAAGGAGAGGTTTCAAATACTGCAGAGAGTTGTGAAGAATGATTTAGGAGAAAGTGCTCACCTTGTCCCATTTGGAAGGAAGGTTAGATTTTAATCATCTCAATCCATTTGGCTCAGGCTGGTAAATGTCTTCCTAGAAAATCTCTCAGGAAATTGTGTTTATAGCTCCTTATGTAATCATTCAATATTTACTTTCTGGCAGGGATTTCGGTGCCCCATAAAAAGGGTCCCTTGTGTTTACTATCACAACTAAGCAAAAATAGATGCCAAACAAAGTAGTTCTTAACATTAAAAAAAAATACACTGAAGCATTCTTTACTACATCCTGTTAATATTTTATTGAGGAAACAGCACTATTTGCTTCTAAGTAAGGGTTAATTATCTCTATCTGGGTAATGTTTACAACAACATTTTATTTGCACCCCCCCCCCCCCGCCCCCCCGCCCCCAGGTCCCAGTCCCTGCCCAGGTCTCCCAAAGGTCTTGCTTGTAATTCAACAAACCTCCTGCAGAAAATATACAGATGGTTTGAAGTGTTTAAGTTCATCTGAATAAAATGGTGAAAAACTACCAGTTTATCAGGTTGTGTTAACATTAGGTTGTTTTTGTAATCCTCTTTCTAGGGTATTTATTTGGAATATATGAGTATTGTTATATACCTAAACTTAACAGGGGCTTCAAATATTCACAAAAGCGTGTCTTTTTCCCCAACACATATTTGGTATATATGTGCCACAGGAGTGCATGCTAAGCCTCTTCAGTCATGTCCAACTCTTTGTGACACTATGGATTGTAGCCTGCCAGCCTCCTCTGTCCATGGGATTTCCCAGACAAGAATACTGGAGTGGGTTGCCATACCCTCCTTCAGGGGATCTTCCCTACCCATCAACTGAGCTCTTGTCTCTTACATCCCCTGCACTGGCAGGCAGGTTCTTTACCACTAGAGTGACCGGGGGAACCCATATATGTGCCACTTGCTGAGTCAAATGCTTGACTTGAATTATTTCGCAAATCTCTACAACAACTTTCAGAAATAGGTACTATTACCACCACTGATCTTTATAATTTAAAGCTTCTATTTTTGCAAATTAACTCACTTGCTAAACTTGTAACCCCATAGGGATGCTCGCCGAAATTTTGCGGTCATTTGTGGACACACACCTGTGCAGAGCAGGGAAAAATTTGAATTGCTTGATGCCCCTGTTTCTAGGCAAGGTACAACAAGGCCACACTCTGCCCTCTTGTTTCAGCATCACACTGTAACAAACTAGAGAAATGATCCCTGAAAGTACAGTCTCAGCCTCACACCAAATAAATGCCCTTTTTTAGGGTCTACGTAGCTGGGCTGGTGGAAGCACAAGCTGGAATCAAGATTGCTGGGAGAAATATCAATAACCTCAGATAGCAGATGACACCACCCTTATTGCAGAAAGTAAAGAAGAACTAAAGAGCCTCTTGATGAAAGTGAAAAAGGAGAGTGAAAAAGTTGACTTAAAGCTCAACATTCAGAAAATCAAGATCATGGCATTCGGTCCCATCACTTCATGTCAAATAGATGGGGAAACAGTGGAAACAGTGGCTGACTTTATTTTTCTGGGCTCCAAAATCACCGCAGATGGTGACTGTAGCCATGAAATTAAAAGATGCTTACTCCTTGGAAGGAAAGTTATGACCAACCTAGACAGCATATTAGAAAGCAGAGACATTACTTTGCCAACAAGGGTCCGTCTAGTCAAGGCTATGGTTTTTCCAGTGGTCATGTATGGATGTGAGAGTTGGACTGTGAAGAAAGCTGAGCGCTGAAGAATTGATGCTTTTGAACTGTGATGCTGGAGAAGACTCTTGAGAGTCCCTTGAACTGCAAGGAGATCCAAATAGTCCATCCTAAAGGAGATCAGTCCTGGGTGTTCATTGGAAGGACTGATGTTGAAGCTGAAACTCCAGTACTTTGGCCACCTGATGCAAAGAGCTGATTCAATTGAAAAGACCCTGATGCTAGGAAAGATTGAGGGCAGGAGGAGAAGGGGGACGACAGAGGATGAGATGGTTGGATGGCATCACCGACTCAATGGACATGGGTTTGGGTAGACTCCGGGAGCTGGTGATGAACAGGGAGGCCTGGCATGCTGCGACTCATGGGGTCACAAAGAGTCAGACACAACTGAGCGACTGAACTGAACTGAAGTCCTGTTTTGGGGCTTCCTAGGTGGCTCAGTGGTAAAGAACCTGCCTGCCAATGCAGGAGATGAAAGAGACATGGGTTCCATCCCTGAGTTGGGAAGATCCCCTGGAGGAGGAATGTTAACCCACTCCACTATTCTTTCCTGGGAAATCCCATGGACAGAGGAGACTGGCGGGCTACAGTCCACAGGGTCGCAAAGAGTTGGACACGACTGAAGTGACTTAGCACTAACACATATTCTTATGCCCAGGCATCTGAGCACAACAGCTGCAGGAAAGTGTTATTTCCTACACACAACTTCTTGGCTGGCATTTTATCCTT